AATGGGATGCAAATGACAAGCCAGTGCTGCCAGAACGCTACAGGTCAGTGGTCTCGCCTTGTGCTCGAGGAGGGAATCTTGTGCTTCGGCCGCGCTTGGGTTTGATCGCGTGCCTTAAAGTCTGACAGCGCATCACAACGAGCTGCGCTGACGGTCTCGCGTGCGCGTCGTTGCACCCCTCGGCCTGGTAGAGACGTCACGCCAATGTCGCATCATTGGAAGGACTTTCGCAAGACAGCGTAGTCCATCTTCAGAGGAGAGCGAACCGGCACAGACCGCGTTGACATCCGAGCCGAGCGCCACCCGTGCGCAAATGCGATCTTCACACGGAAGCAATCACGCTGCACAGGTCAACGAGGCTGCCAGGGACTGATCGCGTGGAAGCTTGGAGCCATAACACCGCGCATCAAGCGGACAGACAAATCACGCCCACAAAAGAAGCTGATGAGCCGCATTTACACGGTGCTTTGGCGGGACGAAGTGGGCTAGACAAACGGACACAGTTCATAACAGGGAAAGCCTTCACATTTCTCTTTCTCTCCCCTGCTTGGAGCGGCCTCTTGCACTACTTACTGCAGACTGTGCAAGGAGCTCTTCAGTGTGCACGGCACAATCTCCACGTCGGCTCAGATACGGGTCACAGAAGCTGGATGCTGCACATTCCATTCCAGTCGGATCGGTAGCTAGCCATGGTGCAGAGCAAAATTCGGGCATCCAATACGAAATTCAGACGGATCCGCTCGACGCTCCTTTCTCCGCCACGAGCTTCTCGCTGAGGTCCCAGAGATCCTTGGCAAGACCCTCGTCGCGTGAGTACTTGGTGTCTTGTCCTTCCAGACCAAACGTAACGCGATAGGCATCCCAAGAATCCTCCTTCTCCAGATCGGGGCTCGTAGCAGCATACAAGCTGGCAAGTGCTCCTTCCGACACGCTCGCAAAGATCTTGGGTGCGATGGGAGCCAATGGTGTACCCTTGTAGAGGTCAGAGGCGATGAAGCCAGGGTGCACCGCAGTGGCCCTAACGCTCGCGCCATGTCGACGATTGAATTCTCGCACCATCAGGAGATTGCTGAGCTTGCCTTGACTGTATCGCATGTACTTGCCCAACTCTCCAATGCCCATCTTGCGATTGACATCGTCGAGCGATTTGAATTTCGGCTCCAAGGCTGGGTTCGCGCTGATGAATTTGTGCGCGATGCTCGTCAGATTGACGATGCGTGCTGGATGAGGGGCTGAAGCTTTGCCGGCAGCTTCCAGGGCGGGCAAGAGACTTTGAATAAGAGCAAAGTGGGTCAAGTGATTGACCTGGAAAGACTGTTCGATGCCGTCCTTGGTCAACTCGTAGTCAGCGCCCATGATGCCAGCGTTGCACACGATGATATGCAACTGCGACTCTTTGGCAAGAAAGTCCTTTGCACATCTTGGTCCCGTCGAGAGGTCGCTCAGGTCCAGGTGAACATAGTCGAGCTGTAGCTCAGCAGGGCTTGAGCCCGTCGCACCGGCCGCGCTTGCTTCCTGAGCTTTCTGTCCAGCGTCGCTGGTATTGCCCTGCGAGGCGGATTCTGCGTGCTCCTTGCGTAGCTGTGCGATGGCATCCTGAGCTTTCGACTCTGTTCGCGATGCCATGTAGACTTTGGCGCCGGCATGCGCCAGTGCTCTTGTCGTCTCAAGACCGATGCCAGCGTGTCCGCCAGTCACGATGGCGATCTTGCCGTTCAGCGGTGGAATCTATGGGACCAAGCAGGCACGTCAGCGACGACGCAAAGCGACACTGAGCCGGCATCGTGGGAGTAGGCACGACTGCTTGATGGCTTGCACCACCACTTCTTGTCTTGCACCGCCTAATTCAGCGAGAAGAAGAGAGCGAGCAGTGATAACGGCTAGAAGATTCGTGATTGCAAATGTGCGCCCGTGTGCCAGTCTCCCGACTCCCGCACAGCCTGCGCTCGCCCCCCCTCTCATCTCGTCAGGTCGCGGTCGCGCGGCTCCTCCACTTACCTGGTCCACCGAGAATTTCTTTTGTTCCTGATGATCGGCGGAAGTCATTTTGAAGTTCTTGCTGCGATATGGACCGTCAAGACTGTAGCAGAGAGTCGCATTCAAGAGTGTATGTTGGTGTGTGTCGGGAGCATGTGTAATGGGGCGGTGATGGCGCGGTTGTTCTGCTTTACCCTGCTTCTTGGGTGGTGCAAGAGAGTTGCTGTACGGTATGCCTTTTGGCTTGCTTGCATCACCGCTTCACGCTGTTCCGCGCGACGATCACCTCGCCGGCCCCCACTTGGCCTCCCGCTCGACGCTAGCGAGAGCCAGCCAGACTCAGCAGGCTCCACACGTCGAAGATCAAACATGTGAAAGCGAGCGTGCACTGAACAACTCATCAGTTGCTGCTCAGCAGCAGCAGCAGCAGCAGCAGCAGCGGCGGCGGCTTTGAAGCCGATGAGGATGTGGACAAACGCCCGCGCGCTCCTGCTGCTGTACTCACTCCCACGCCGGCGTTTCGTACGTGTGCCACAGCGGAAGCTCGCATGTGGCAACGCGGGGCTCCACATGCAGCAGCATCGAGAAGCGCTTGTGCGCGCATGCTGCTGCCGAGCTCTTCGCCCCTCGCGTCAAGTTTGAGTCCTGCTGGAGCCAGTCACGAAGCCACAGTCTGGGGTCTATGTCCGTGGAGTTATGCACAAGCACTCATCAGAGTAGTCAGAGCGTGAGTGCGCGATCACGGACAGGCGTGCGTAGCCAGCCTCCTCGTCACGCTGCATACATCATCACTCAATTCCAGCCTAAAGTCTGCAGCGGATCGTGGGATCATAGCTGAGCGTGGTGGGGTCACAGCACAGCCCTGCTGAATGAAGGAGACACATGCTGGCTGACACGAACCTTGGCGCAGTCACAGGCAGCTCGAGGCTCGTTTCCGGAACATGGCCACCGGCGTCACGAGTGTATGCTACTCATGTTCAGACCGCTCGACAAGCGCCATTCATCACCTTCATGCACCACTCTCGCTGCGCCGTCTAAGACTCAACGGTCTGCTCATATAGCTCTGATTGTGTGTGGATTGGACGAAGACTGAAATGTAGAAAGGCTGGTTGTGGACGTGGATGTGGATGTGGTTGTGGACGTGGACGTGGATATGGATGTGGATGTGGATGCAGATAAATGTTT